CTCCCCCCTCCCGCCGGACCTCCGCGGCGCCGGCGTGCTCGCCGCAGAACCTCTTCCCCGCGGCCGCCACCATCCTGCAGAACCGCTTCTTCTTTTCCACGTAGTACCCGCATCTCCCCTCGGCTGGAAACCCAGCAGCGCACGGACTCGGCGGCGAGGCCGCCATCATCCACGTCCCGCCACGCCCGGGACGGTCAGCATCCGGCGGCCGGCGCAAAAAAAAAAAAGTTGTCTGTGTCCTGGGGAGTTCTCGTCCCTTCACAAAGATGGCGGATGCCGGTCTCCATCGGGCACTTTTCCCTCAACAAAGATGGCGGCACCGCGTCCCAACACGTCGGTCGATGCCCGGAAACAGCTCACCCATTCGAACCCCAAACCCGCCCTCCGTCGCAAAAACCGGAAGTGGCTGATGGTGGCTGCGAGGTCCAAACTTCCTTCGTCTCCCCCACCCTTCGCCCCCCCTGTTTCTCGCTCCTCCTCCGCGGAGCTAAGCGCCAAACTCAAACTCTGTCCGGAGCCGGACGTCTCCTCGGCGCGTTTGGAGGCCTAGGCCTGTGGACCGGCCGAGGTCTGCGATGAGCCAAGTTCTGTTCCAGCAAATCGTCCCCTTGCAGGTGAAATGCAAAGACTGCGAGGAGAGGTGAGGTCCGCGGCGCTCGCTGCCCGCGGCTGGCGGTTGGGGTCGCGCCGGCGGTGAAGATGGCGGCTGGGGACCGTGGGGCGGGGCCGGGGCCGGGGCACTGGCAGGGCCCGGGTGGCCGCCGCTGGCACCGACCGGCCGCTGCAGGGGGGACGCTGGGAGGGGAAATGGGCAGCCTCGGTGACCCAGCCTCGCTCCTTGTTATTATTATTATTAATTATTATTATTATTAATCATCATCATCACTAGTAATGAAGGCCCTGGAGCTTGAACTCAGAGCCTGCTTGCTGTCCCTGAGCTGCTGTGCTCAAGCCTGGCGCTCGATCGCCTGAGCCACAGCTCCGCTTCCGGCTTTTTGGGGTGGTCCTTTGGCAATCAGTCTCAACGACTTTCTTGCCCGGGCTGGCATCGAACCGCGATCCTCCGATGCCAGCCTCGGGAGCGCAAGCCTGAGCCCCCTTGGCGCCCCCGTGGCCACTGTTGACAGGAATTTCGTTGGTGCAATACTGTCCGCTCGTAAACACTCGCCGTTGGACACTTACTTTGGGGATGTGATGGTTTTCGTGGTAATACTAGAGCTTAAGTAGGATTGGTGTTAAAGCAGGTGATCCGTTTGTACAGCCGCCCCCAGTTCGACCATGCACTCGCCGTCTCTTAGCGTCTGTGTTCCTTCTTGTGTACAGTTGACATAACGTAGTTGTCAGTAGGATCAAGTGTGAAAATACATACAATAAAAGACAGATTGTGTAGCCTGGCCCCAATGGCTTTAGTGGTAGAGTGACGTCTAAGCCAGTGGTCTTGACTTCAAACCCCAGTATGTCCAAGACAAAAAGTAAAACTCAAAGGTGTAGGAAGGTCGCATAACAAAATTGATTTACTGAGTTGTCAGTAAACTATAATATGTGATCCCAGAACTTGACTCCCATGGATATAGATTTGTGGGTTAGTTTAAGTAGTTGGCTTTGTGTTGTTGTTGTTGTTTGTTTTTGTTTTCATTTGGGGGACTCAGCCCAGGGCTTTGCATATGTTGAATTCCACCTCTGCAGTTTCTCCTGCTCCTACATGCCGTTCATTGTGGTAGCACTAACCACATATGCTATTGAACATTTGATGGGGGGGCGCTAATCCAGATTGGGTTGCTATAAATGCAAAATAAAATTAACACTGATTTTAAAGATATTCTATGAAATAAAAGTGTAAAATCTCAATAAGTTTAATGTTGGTTATACATTAAAATGGCAAGATTTTGGGTCTATTACGTTAAATAGGATATATAACTAAATTAATTTATTAACTTCTAATTTTTTATTGTTATTATAAAGGTGATGTACAGAGGGTTACCGTTTCATAAATGAGGTGATGAGTACATTTCCTTTTGGATGATGGATGTCACCCCTTCCTTCACTCTCTCCCTTCCATCCTTGCCCACAAATTGTAAAGTTCAAATTCTGGGCCCTTAGCCTTTTCACTCAGGGCTGGCACTTTACCACTTGAGCCACAGCTCCACTTCTGGCTTTTTGGTGAATTAGAGATGAGTGTCACAGACTTTTCCTGCCCTGAGAACTTCAAAGTTTGATCCTTAGATCTCAGCCTCTTGAGTAGGTATGAACTATCAGCACTTGCACCCTGCCTTCTTTTTATTCTTTCATACCTTTGGGATACTAGTATTTCTTCACTTATAGCAGGGGTCAGCAGAGCCCTTAAGGCCAGATGGCCCACTATTTGTAGATGAAGTTTTATTACCAAATTGTTGTGGCTGTTTTTGCAGAATTGAATAATTGTACTATACTGTTTTTTGAGGGCATAAAGGTCAAGATGTAGCTCATTGTCTCCATAGTATGGCACGTGTTCATTTCAACACTGAAGAGAGAGACAGAGAAAGTGTGAAAGAGACGTGTTAGCCAAAAAAAGCCTAAATGACTTACTCTGTTGTCCTTTACAGTAGAACCATTTGCTGACCCCTGACATATAGAAAGAATAACCTAAACTCTTTTTTTTTTTTTGTCAGTCATGGGGCTTGAACTCTGGGCCTGAGCGCTGTCCCTCAGCTCTTCAGCTCAAGGCTAGCACTCTACCACTTGAGCAACAGCGCCACTTCCAGTTGTCTGGTGGTTTATTGGAGATAAGAATTTCACGGACTTTCCTGCCCGGGCTGGCTTTGAACCGAGATCCTCAGATCTCAGCCTCCTGAGTAGCTAGGATTACAGGAGTGGGCCACCGGCACCCTGCTCCTAAACTCTTTAGTAAGTGTTCCAGGCCTGTTCAGCCCAACAAATATTTGCAAATGCCTACTATGTGCCAGGAGCTGTCCGTGGTGCTCAGGAGATGAATTTCTCTTCTGTACCCGCCTCCATACCAGACAGACTAACACATAACCATTGTGCTTATCATGGGACTCACATTTTAATTGAGGAAAGAAAAACATTTCTCCTGGAACTCGGTGCTGGGGCTCACACCTGTAATCCTAGCTACTCAGGAGGTTGAGATCTGAGGATCACAGTTCAGAGTCAGACTTGCAGAAAAGTCCAGGGGACTCTTACCTCCAGTTAACCACCAGAAAACAGGAAGTGGTGCTGTGTCTCAGAGTGGTAAAGTGCTAGCTTTGAGGGAAAAAGCTCAGAGACAGCACCCAGACCCTGAGTTCAAGCCCCACAACCAAAAAAATAAAATAAAATAAAATTTCCCCTGGAGAAGCAGCATGGTACAAATTAAGAGTTCAAGTTCTGGAACTAGATTGTTTTGGTTTAAATCTCGTTTCAAACTGTTACTTAGTTGTCCATCTTATACCATTTATTTATTATTTATTTACTTTTTTTGGAGGGGCAGAAGGTTGGTGTTGGGGGTTGCACACATTAAGCACATACTCTACTATTTACGTAAACCACCTAAACCTGCTTATATGATTTTTTAAAAACTTTTTTACATCTTTTAAAAATTATTTTAATTTATAATAACTACCTATTTCATAGAATCATTGGGGTTGATAGGAGTTAATTCACACAGGACAATACATAAGGCATTACTTTTTCTTTCATAACTTCAAGGTATATCTTAAATCCCTTCACTATAAGGATCTTTCAAAGTTGCCTAATTTGAAATTACCTCTATCCATTTATTAGCTAGCATGATATAGGCAAGAAATTTGATTCCTAATATATGCCTCAGGTTCCTCCTCTGTTAAGAGTGATAATATTTACTCAAGATGATTGTTGTTAGCTAAGGTGAAATACAGGTATCACAGGCTCTCAGTAGGCATTAATAACCTTCCTTTCCTTCTCTTGAATCCCTGAAATAAAATCAGAAGCATATCTAGGGAAAAGTCATTTAATCTAACCTCATCTGGACCATGTTTGTTTGTGTTTGTATCCCTAGCACCCACATAGTACCTGCCTTAAAGTAGCTTTTATTTGTCTCAGCTACTGGGTGACAGCAGCAGGCTTGAATCCAGTTCTGCTAATGATGGGTGGTAAAGATGTTCTTTGTTTAAAACAACATCTATCCAAATCTAACTGTCCCAGTGAATATTATGCAGATTTATGTAGTGTTCAAAGTGGTATGCTTACTGAAATGAGTAGTAGTATTTTTATTAGAGATTTTATTTCTTTACATTGCTTTATTATGTCATGAACCTTTATAATGGAGCAAATAAGATTTGTAGTTGAAGATAGTATATTCCCTGGAAGCTCAGATTTTTCTACAGATTTCGGGGGGAGTATTTTGGACTAGACATGTGGAACATATTTGATTTTTAAGCTTAATTTTAATTTTCTCCCTCACATTAATATATTAGGCATTTCAAATATATGCAGTATGATTGGTTGATGGTTATAGCAATATAACTTTCAGATTTATGTAACCAGATTGAATTTTTTAAACAAATTTTTGAAGTATGGAAGGACTCCAAAACTGTGAAGCATAAAAAACTAGGTGTCAAGTACAGTATCATGCCACTATGGTGATTCATGTTAAAAACAGCACTAAAACAAAACAGTGTAGAGCAAAAAAGATCTGCACAAGCCATCAAATTGAATTTATTCATTTCTACAAGTTAGGAAGTTAAGGTGGTGGTGGTTTGTTTTTTTTCCCCGAAGAAAGCTTAAGTGGAATTGGAGCAGTATTCTAATCTGTTTCATATAAGTTTTTCAGATACAAAAAAAAGAAAAGAAAAGAAATAATACATTGTTTTAAAAATAATTCTTCATGGACTGGGGGTATAATTCAGTGGGAGAGCCTTTGCCTAGTATGAATGAAACCTTGGGTTTCATCCCCTGTGCCATAAAACAGAGACAGAAAACCTTTCCTATCTTTGTGGTGTAGACTAATGCTGCTCTTCCTTTTCAGGTAATAGATTCAAGTTGTGGAATGTTTATCTGTCTCCTGTCAACTAACATTGTACACCCAATTCTTTGTTCAATAAGAAATTTAACTAAATGACACATTTTATTTATTTTTTATATAAAACTTTTACTGTATGTAGACAATAACCATTATTTGTTTCGGCAAGGTAATACCTCACTGGTGTTACAGGATGTGTTTCTCATCACCAATGAAGCAAGTTCCATTTTTGCAGCAGTAGATATTGACATCCCTTTAGTTGGAGTTGATATCTGGACTGAACTTAATCCTATAAGTATAAGTAATATACATCATGTTCTCTCAACCTTTTTTCATTTTTTTAACATTTATTATTATCTTTAGTTGTACAAAGAGGTTCCCAGTCTACAAAACAGTATGTGAATACAAGGTGTCTGACAATATTATCACCTGTAAATGACACATTTTAAAGTAATATAATCACAAGTCTAAACGTTAAAAAAGATTGATGCAGTTTGAATCTTGGTCAGTTGTTTCCAAGTTACTCCTTTGTCAGTCTAGATTATTTCTGTGGACAGAAGGAGTAGAATATGGCAATGTTAAAAGTCAAATCTTTAGAAGAATAACTTAAAAATGAACAAGCTTGAATTTCTTCCCCTGTATGTCATAAGAAGCCATTATTATTGAACCTAGCAGAAGAATTTGAGAACCACTCATTGTTAATGTTTTTAAATTAAATTTTCCTTTTTTAATTTTTATTTATTTATTTTTTGGTCCGGTTGTGGGGCCTGAACTCTGGGCCTGAGCACTGTCCCTCAGCTCTTCAGCTCAAGGCTAGTGCCCTACCACTTGAGCCACAGCGCCACTTCCGGCTTTTTTCTTTTTGCTTATGTGGTGCTGAGGAATGGAACCCAGGACCTCAGGCATGCAAGGCAAGAGGTCTACCACTGAGCCAACTTCCCAGCACGGAATTTTTCTTTTTTAAAAAATTTAAACATCTTCCTACAACTTGATTAATGTTTATGGTTAGTGTGTGTGTGTGTGTGTGTGTGTGTGTGTGTGTGTGTGTGTGTGTGTGTTCAGTATTGGATTCTCTGTAAGATATAATATGAAATATTCTGGTTGTGTCATTTCAGACCTAATCTAGGATAAGATAGGTAATAATACATTTGCTGACAGTTTTCTTGCATAGAAAATATATCAAGCAGATTTAGCTTTTAGATCTGAAAGAAATTAAGTATATAAAAGAGTAGAGATTGTTATTTTCTTGATTCTGTATAGTCTAAATGTTGTAATATTCACATTTAAAATTTTTAGAATGGATGGGCTGGGAAGGTGGCTCAGTGGTAAAGTGCTTGCCTTGCATGCATGAGGCCCTGGGTTCAATTCGTCAGCACCACATAAGCAGAAAAAGTCGGAAGTGGTGTCTGTGGCTCAAGTGGTAGATTGCTAGCCTTGAGCTGAAGAGCTGAAGGACAGTGCCCAGGCCAAGAGTTCAGGCCCCACGGCCAACAACAACAAAATAAAATAAAATTTTTAGAATGGAATCTTTCATTAACTCAATTTGATCACTTGAAATGTAAATTTATTTATTTTTTGCCAGTCCTGGGCTTAAACTCAGGGCCTGGTTACTGCCCTGAGTTTCTTTTGCTCAAGGCTAGCACTGTACCACTTGAGCCACAGTTACACTTCCTGCTTTTTCTGTTCATGTGGTACTGAGGAATCGAACCTAGCGCTTCATGCATACTAGGGAAGCACTCTACCACTAAGCCACATTCCCAGCCCCAAAATGTAAATTTTTTTAATGTAAAAAAAAAGTAATGTAAATTGATGGTTTGTCTTTCAGTAGATATGATTTTAGAATCAGGGCAGTAAAATATACTACAATAATACTAAGCACTTCCTCAACTGTTTATCTTATTTAATTCTCATAACCTCCCTATTTTATACTTAAGAAAAGTTTAGTCTTCCATTAAAAACTACAAGGTTATTTGCTAGAACAGCTTGAACTTCAAATCTATGTGCTTTCTAAAAATCTATTGTTGTTAGAGAATGTGGCTTAATAAGGCTGAAAATTTTGTTTCTGAGACTTGGACATGTCTTTTCATCTAGGAGAGTGAGTGTGAGAGTGAGCATTGAGCTGCAATCAGTTTCTAATCCAGTTCATAGAAAGGTTGGTATTTCCTTTTTTAAAATATGATCATTTCTGTAGATGTTAAGAAATTTTGTTTGCATTCACCTTGTTTTCTAGTATTGAGTTATTTTGTAATTGTTGTGGTATAGGATGGTAAAAATCTACTGGGACAGCTAAAAATAATTACACCAAGTATTTCTAAATCATATAAGAAGAATGAACAATTAAGAGTTATAGTCTCCTTAGGTTTACTCAGAGCCTGTAGAAGTTGCTAGTCTGTATGGATACTTTGAAGAATTGGCATTTCATGATATGAATGGGAGAAAACAATAAAGTACTCTGCGGAAATATATTTGAATCTTTTACTTAACTTTTTAGAGTTCCGTGTGTCTTTCAAAAGTATGTATCATTGAGCAGAGGATAGAGACCAGAGAGTTAACTATTTGTTCGTTTAAGTGTTTTTAAAGTTAGCTTACACTAGTTAGTTGTGCATGGTGGAGATTCTATTCCTTTCCTTTGTATTGCCCTTCCGTCACGTTCGTCCTTATTCACCTTCTGTTCTCCCACGCCCTCTGGCTGATACCTGCCCCAACACAACCTGTTTCACTTTTTTATCATCCAATTTTTATTTTTTTAAAGTGTGTGTACATTGCACGAGGAGTTTCAATTTTTTAAAAAAAATAGCATCTTAAAGTGAATTTCAAGAAGTGCCTACATAGAAGCTACTTAAGAGTATGGTATTCTGAGACCGAGCCAATACCCAAATTGCTATTTTTTTTTTTTTGTGGGGTGGAGAGTATATACTACATTCTTATTTTGTTCATTTTCTAGCTCTACTAATAAATGGCTTACACTTTTCTAGTTCCTCAGTAGTTCTGAGTAGATTTTATTTCAAACTTGTTCTTAATCTGAATACTTAGTGGGGTTTTTGTGTGTGTTTTTGTTATTGTTGTTTTTGTTTATTGTTTTGTCAGTCATAGGGCCTGAACTCTGGGCCTGGGTGCTGTCCCTCAGTTCTTCAGCTCAAGGCTACCACTCTACCATTTGAGCTACCGCGCCACTTCTGGCTTTTTCTGCTTATGTGGTGCTGAGGAATCGAACCCAGGGCTTTATACATGCAAGACAAGCACTCTACCACTGAGCCACCTTCCCAGCTCTGAATACTTAGTTTTATTAGTTCTCCTAAGCCCAGTTTTCCTTGTAGCAGTGGTCTCTGAAGTTTATAATTTCAGTGCACTTTTCTGTTGGCTTTTTAGCTGCTGTGATGATTTGTCACACTGTAAAATTAACAACCTGGAGAGTGGTCTTTATTAAAGGAACCAGCATCATCAAAAATGAAAACAGATGGGTCTCTCTGTCAGTAACCACCTGGAGTAGGAGAGCATATGCCCTTATGGGAAGCCCTGGCAACCTGTCACCTGATCCTCTTTTGCCTCAGACAAAAGCTCCTTCTTTTGTTAGGTGGATAGTTGTCAGCTTTGCTGAATTTCCTGCTTTGAAATGCCAGACTAGTTAATTGAAGGGAGACTGAAAATATAATTGTTCTGTGGTAAGGAATATTTGGTGTGGTCTAAATGACCCAAGACTTCTGATAGAATATTCCTAAACTTTGAAATCTTTCATAGTTTTTAATTAATTTCTATAAATTCCTTATGGTTGTCACAGAGCAGGAGTGTCTTTCTCTAAGATTTCAAGTCTCTAAAGACTAATAAAAAAAAAAAACAGACAGAGACGAAAGCTGTAGTGGAGTACAGCTGTGATGTTTGATGTTATTGGGATATTTTTCAAGAAGGAAATCTGAAAATACTTTTAAAAAAAACCCTTTCTTTTAGGATTTAGTTATTCGACTGACTGATGATACAGATCCATTTTTCCTTTATAATCTTGTTATATCTGAAGATGATTTTCAAAGGTAACTAAACATGGCGGGGGCAGGGCTGGTCTTATACTTAATCTGGGGAACATTTCTTAAATTTTATGAATATATTGGTACTTTTTTTGATGTACATTTTCTAGCCATGCACTATTTATTTAAATCATGCCAATTAACTTATTCTGGGAGTAATGAACAATTTGTTCTATAGTTATTTACCATGTCCCTGAAAAATATTTCATAGATTATTAGATTTCTATTAAAACAGTGTAGAAGTTTGAAATTATAGCTACATTTCTTGATGTATTTTCTCCTATTAAATAAATTCTATAAACATAATATAGTTTTCATAAATGGTGTTCAGGAACTATAGAACCTTTGAAGGTATTAATTGTAAGATAGTAATTCAATTTCTAAAACAAATCTTTGTTTTTGTTTTTTTTAGTTTAAAATTCCAACAAGGTCTTCTGGTAGACTTCTTAGCTTTCCCACAAAAGTTTATAGATCTCCTTCAGCAATGTACTCAAGAACATGCCAAAGAAATTCCAAGGTACGTTCCATGAGGTTGGGACATTATTAAACTTCTTTTTCCAAGATAGACCCTCTTTGAAAGACAAGTTGATGGAATGATATTTTCCATGTAATAAGTACCTATTTACGTTCAAAACTGCAGTGAAGGCTCTTTTAAATCTCATGTTTTTAGGAAGCCTTGATTAAAATCAGGAATGGTAAAATAATGCAGTGTAGCTCAAGTGTATAGCACTTGTCTAGCGAGTACAAGATCCTGTGTTGAGTATAGAAAAAAAAAAGGAAAAAAGAAATATTTGCTCCTTTATTTTTGTTTTGACATAGCCACTAAAGTTATTGAAATACCTAAGAGTATTTGTTTTTATAATGAACCTGGAAGAAGAGAATAAGATTATTCTTGTATATAGATATTCATATTCAGGTGGTGTTAAGGCTTGATCCTTGTAAAGGTTACCATCAAGATAGAAATCTTGCTTGGGATGTGTAAGGCCCTGGGTTCTATCCTTAGTACTTGAAAACAACCAACCAACCAAAACAAAAATAATTTTAAAAAACCAGAAAAGTTTATAATCACCCTTTTATTAATTTCCTCAACTGATGATTGTTATATGAAACAGATATTTCACCAGAGGTTTTTCTAAAGATGTCATTTTTTTAGGTTATTAGATGTAATTCTTTTATTTATTTTTTAAAATTTTTTTTAAATTTAATTTAATTTAATTTGTGAACATACTGTACAGAGGGGTTACAATTGCATGGGCAGGATAATGTGTACATTTCTTACCAAGCATTGCAGCCTCCTCCTTTGTTAATTCTTTTAAAAAATTATTTTATTATTTGTTTTGTATTAAAGATCATACAGAAAAGGATAAATGTTTAATTTCTATAATTTGCTAATTTTCAGAATAAGGGGCTAGTATTCTTGTCACTATTGTAGTAATGCATTTTTGTTTTTGTTTTTTACTGTTTTCTCTTCTGTCTTGCTGAACTTAAGAGTTTTACTTTGTTTCAATTCCCCATCACTGACTTGTCATGTTCTTCACCAGGGGAATCCTTTCATATTAGCCCCTATAAATTCTGTTTCCTCCCTCTAATGGTCTTTCCAAATAGAGGAGCTCATGATTTAAAAGCAGAGTTTGACTGTCTTGAGTTTATTACCATGTGACTTCTTTTCAAAGGTTTTTGCTGCAGTTAGTTTCTCCAGCAGCTATTTTGGATAACTCACCTGTATTTTTAAATGTGGTAGAGACAAATCCTTTTAAACATCTTACACACCTGTCACTTAAACTCTTACCTGGAAATGATGTAGAGATAAAGAAGTTTCTAGCATGCTGTTTGAAATGTAGCAAGGTAAGATTTTAAATTTAAGCTATTCTTTTAAACTTGTTATCAGAATGCTTTGATACATCATTGAAGAATTACATTGGCATTATTTCTTATATAAAAATGCTGTATTACTTTTCATTTAGTTAATGTAGAAATGTAGAACTGGACTGGCAATTAAGAAACTTAGATTCCAGGTTTTTTCTAGTTTCTATGACCTTAGGTACTAAGCTCTTACACCATAATTTCATCATTTGGGAATATTTACCCTATACAGCCCATCTGAAAATATGTTAGATATCTACATTAGATTATGACACAGGAAACATGGTATTGCCACTTGAACCTTTGGGTTATATTGCCATTAAATGCTGTATATAAGTGCATCTGAAATGGTAATGGTGCATAGACCATCTGACAATTTTGCTAAAATGCAACTTCTGATTTGAAAGCTCTGAGATACTGCAAGCTTTTAGAATGATACTGATACTTTATTTTGCTGCACTTTGAGTAGCTTGGCTACTGATGGTTGAATTAAATTGTAAACTCCATAATATTGTTTCTATAAATAGGAAGAAAAATTATCATTGACACAATCATTAGACGATGTTACTAGGCAACTGAACTCAACACAAAAGGTAATTGATAGTTCATTTGTTTTTGTAAGTCATCCAGACACTGGTTCTGAATTGCTTCTTGAATTAAATCTAAGCATTTACGTATTTTCTTTCAAACTATGCTACCATTAAATTTCCTCATCTTTTTGCCATCTACCAGTTAACTCTTAATCTGATGCTCTCTTTTAGATGTTTAATTCCATGCAAACATTTTATCAATTTATGACACATTTTCTCTAAATCTTTTATTAAGTAACATTAACATTCTTTCTCCTTTTTTTCTTTTATTCATTTCATTCCTCTGGCTTAAAATGGCTTTTCACTTCTTATAAAAGTTCCCATCTATTGGGCACCAGTGGCTCATGCCTGTAATCCTAGCTACTCAGGTGGTTTAGATCTGAGGATCATGATCAAAGCCAGCCCAGTCAGGAAAGTTTATCCCCAAAAACTACCCAGAAAAAGCTGGAAATGGCACTGTGTCTCAAGTAGTAGAGTGAGAGTGCTCACGCTCTGAGGTCAAGTCTCAGGATCAGCATACACACAAAGAAAAGGTAGTTTAAGCTTATCTGTTTTAGCTAAAAAATTGTTTATATACAGATCTTGATTACCTCAAATAAAAAAAATTGTACAGACAAAGGATTTGGGTATGAATTGAAAAGCTGTATAATTTCGTTTTCTTTAATATTCTTGGAAGTATTGCTGTGTTCTAATCAAAAGTGTAACGTACTCAGGAGATGATCTTAATATCCTGTACTGAACTCTAGACATTGTCAGAAAAAATACAAGAATTAGAGAAGTTACGGAATGAATGGGCCTCACACACAGCGTCATTGACAAATAAGCATTCTCAGGAACTGACAAATGAAAAGGAAAAAGCCTTACAGGTAAGCCAACTTAGTTAAAGGTAACTGGAAAAGTATTTTTTTTATTGCTCTTGGTCATTTTATTAGCCAGAAAAGGAGTAAATACAAATTGTAACATTTTCAAACATAGGGAATTATGTAAACTAAAAGTTAAAAGTTTGTTTTCCAAAGTCTTACTAAAAGATAGAATCTTGTGGCCCCCACCTATAATCCTAGCTACTTAGTTTGAAGCCAGCCCAGGCAGAAAAGACTCTTATCTTCAGTAAACTATTCAGAATAAGCCTGAACCTTAAACACATATTTGTATGTATGCATATGTGTGTGTGTGTGTTGTGCCCGTGCGGGGCGCGCACTGTTAAAAACAGAAACAGTATAATGTTTCAGCAAAACTTAAAGTTTTAAGTATTTGTTTTTTTTTTAGACACAAATAGTTTCATACTAAATATACTGTATTTTGCTTAGGCTTTTCTGTTTTTAATTGTATATTCTTCTGTTAAAGTATTCCCTTAACTTGAAGACCATTACATGTGAGTTTAAGAGAAGTGGATCATGGTGTTTAGTTTACTTTTAGTTTTCTTCTTTTCTCCTTCATAAATCTATAATTGTAAATAGACCTTTTGAAAACAGGAACATCTATAAATGATAAAGAAATTGTGATTTTTTTCTCTGATATTTCCTATTTGTTTTTGACTTTTCTATAACAGGCACAGGTTCAATATCAACAGCAGCATGAACAGCAGAAAAAAGATTTAGAAATCCTCCATCAACAAAACATCCACCAGCTACAGAGCAGATTATCTGACTTAGAAGCAGCTAATAAAGAGTTAACTGAAAGGAAATATAAAGGAGACTCTACTGTTAGAGAACTTAAAGCAAAGCTTTCTGCTGTTGAAGAGGTATTAAATATTGACTTTTCTTGCTATCCTAATTTGAAAAGGATGTTTTAGTTTGGTCACTTTATTTAAATTTCTTTGATTACACATGTGGGTGGTCTTCTGAATGCTCTGCAAAGATCTCTTGAGCTAATAGAATAATCATTTCAGAAATTGCAAAGAAAATCAAGATTATGATTGGCAAACTGAACTTTTTTTTTTTTGCTTTTTTGTCGGTCGTGGGGCTTGAACTCTGGGCCTGGGCGCTGTCCCTCAGCTCTTCAGCTCAAGGCAAGCGCTCTACCACTTGAGCTACGGCGCCACTTCTGGTTTTCTGGTGGTTTATTGGAGATAGGAGTCTCACGGTCTCTCCTGCCCGGGTTGGCTTTGAACGGCAATCCTCAGATCTCAGCCTCCTGAGTAGCTAGGATTACAGGTGTGAGCCACCAGCGCCCGGCTAAACTGAACATTTTTAATTAGCCTCTTGAGTAGTTTATGGACACAAATCTCAGGGTTTTAGTGTATTTTTAGTATTAACCCAGTGTTTATAGCTTATATCTCAGAAGGTACTCTGTTAATAATTATCTCTTTCAGTCTATACAGCATACCAAACTAGTATTCAGTAAAATAGTGTTACTACTAGATAATAATAGATAGTATTTGCTGAGCCTTTGCTATGTGGTAGGCATTGTATAAGTGCTTACAAAGATTAATTCCATTCTTGTAGCAATGCTTTAAGGTAGGTATTGTTACCTCTCATTACAGATGATGCCACTAAGATGCAGAAAGATTAATTTGCCTAAGGTCACATAGGCAGTAATTAGAAGCTTGCAGATTGGAACCCATCTTTTATTTGCCTGTCGTTGTTCTTTGAAGCACCAGAAAAAGTTGTACTTCCATTCATTTATTTTTGCGGAACTGGGGTTTACCCAGGATGTAGTGGGCTGCAGAAGGGCTTGACAGTATCTTGGCAGTATTTATACAGCCCATGAAACCATTTGGTACATGACAGTTCTGACCCTGTGCTTTTACTTGGCTCTTCTTTGGCTCTCGTTGGTTCTCTGCGGCCTGTTTGCCTATATCAATCATTTTGTATGGATTTGAGTGACATTATAAATATCCAATGACCTTGGCAGAAAAGGTTCCCCAATCAGGTAGCATGTGCTGGGCAAGTACTGCACACTGTGCTGTGCCCTAATGCATCAAAGAAGCGTAACACCCTTGCTGTGGCACAGCACATGGCGATGCTCTGACGTTGATAACAGTTTCCTATCTAGCATTAGTGTCCTGTTACTATTTATTTGGGCTTGTGGAGACAGTCTCCAAGGTAGACCAGGCTGTTCTCAACCTTGTGACTCCCCCTGCTTTGACCACCTCCAAAATGTTGGAATTATAGACATGTGTCACGATAGCAGCTCTTAGACATTATCCTATTAACCACGTAAAGATAATTGTAGATTTTCGATTTAGTTCTTTGTTATCCAGATTGGCCTCAAATTCCTGATCTCTGTCTTAGGCAGTAGCTGGAACTATTAGGTGTGTACCACTCTGTCTGTTGTAGGTTTTTTTTTTTAACGTATCATATTTAAGAAGAAAGATTGGCTGGGCTTATTGGTTCACAATCCCAACTACTTGGAAGGTGAAGTTAGGAAGATTAGGCTAGAGACCACTCTGGCAAAAAAAGCTTGAGAAGGCCCTATCTGAAAGCCAGGCATGATAGCGCTGTCTTGTAATCTCAGCTATGTGGAGGTATAGTGGGATGAATGAAGTAAACTGGTAGACTCAGACAGATATGTGAGACCCTATCTGAAAATAGGTCTACTCTATTACTATATGCAATTATATAAGGACTAGACAATTTATATAAGGACTTTTGTGAAGAGTAAATAAAATCATTTATATAGTATGTTTTATGTTGTTTTTTGAAACATGGTCTTGCTAGGTAGCCCAGTCTGGTCAGACAAACTGAGCAGTTTTAGTCATTTTTTGAGAAAAAAAATTTGTACATATAAGGTCAGAAAAATCTTAACTATAGATCATGGTTCCCCCCTTGGCTACTCTTAGACTCATTTAGAAAGATAGAAAATTATTTTTATAAGTTTAGTTGAATTCATAAATCAAGATTGTTTCACTTGGTGTGATTAATTAGTAATATGTTTTATCACTGCAATCCAAATTTATAATTTACATACACTGTTAGAAAGACCTTCATGTCTTTTAAAAAATGTCTGTCTTAGGTACTTATGATTAGTAAAGACTGGTTTTGTTTTTAGATTTGGTCTGGTTTTATGCCACCCAGGATGGCGTTGAATTAGCAGTCTCTGTCTCAGACTGTGGCTGTGGGCCATCAACCCTAGCTTTAAGGATATTTAACAATTTTAATTCTTATTTACTTTCTCCTTCTATAGGGGGTGGGGAGTGGCATCTAGGAACTTGAACTCAGTCTGAGCTTTTGTCCTCTAGGCTAGCACTCTACCACTTGAGTCAAAGCTTCACTAGAAAATTTTTGATGGTTGTTTTGAGATAAGAACTTTCCTGTTGGGGCTGGGAAGGTGGCACAGTGGTTGAGTGCTTGCCTTGCATGCGTGAGGCCCTGGGTTCGATTCCTCAGCACCATATACACAGAAAAAGCTGGAAGTGGGTTCTGTGGCTCAAGTGGTAGAGCGCTAGCCTTGAGCTGGAGAGCTCGGAATAGTGCCCAGGCCCAGAGTTCAAGCTCCACGACTAGCAAAAAAAAAAAAACTTTCCTGCGCAGTCTGGCTTTGAATTGTAGTCCTCAGATCTTAGCCTCCTGAGTTGTTAGGATTGCAGGGGTGAACCATCATTTAAAAAAAAAAAATAGGATGGTGCTGGGAAGGTGGCACAGTGGTAGAGCACTTGCCTTGCATGCATGAGGCCCTGGGTTCAGTTCCTCAGCACCACATAAGCAGAAAAAGTAAAAAAGCCAGAAGTGGTGCTATGGCTCAAGTGGTAGAGCGCTAGCCTTGAGCTGAAGAGCTGAGGGACAGTGCCCAGGCCCAGAGTTCAGGCCCCACGACCAGCCCCCCCCCCAAAAAAATAGTTTTTTTTTTTCTTTGTTGTTTTGTCTTTTTGTTTCGCTTGTTTATCTGTCTTTGGGAGGGAAAGGAGGTGGTAACGGAACTGGAGGACAAAGGGTGAACAAATGCAGCGGTAATGCTCACTAGACACTAGGTTGAAAATGAACTGTACAACTTGTGGGTGGGCATAGGAAGGAAAAACTGGGAGAGAGCCAGGAAGGGGTGACATCCAAAAAGAAATGTTACTCATTACTTACATAACTGTAACCTTTTTGTACATCACCTCTATAATAATAGAAAAATAAATATTAAGAAAACCTTATAAAATGAAGATACAGAGAGAATAGAATATATTTTCAGAATAAAAGAACATTCTCCCACAAACTTATTAAATTCTTTTTAAAGTAAAAAAAAAGTATTTGGGTTTGATTTTGCACACTGTTTCTGTAGCAATCTAAAGAATAAAAAAGATCTTTCAGGGCTCTGGGAGGGCGGGAGAATTTCTTCCCTCATATTCTTCAACTTATTTTTTTTAACTTAGTCATAAATTTACTCCCTTTAATTTTTCCCTTTTTCTTTTTTTAATCTTTTTTTTTAAAGAGTAACACTGCAGAATATATCAGTAACTGCAGACCTGCTTCACTTGGTCATTTGATGTTCAAGTTCCCCTGTCTTCCCATTCTTGCCTTGCTTCTATTTCAGGGAACTCAAAGATTCATCTTTGAAATAACTCAAAGATTCATCTTTGAGTTTTAAAAGTAAAATAGGTTTCTGACCTTATCTGTGCCAGTGGATTTCAGAAGCCACAGTACCAGGTAACAATAAATCATCCATCATTGGAGGGTCTGAAGTGGTCAGTGAATCCATGGTGGCTGTAGCATTGTTGAGATGTTGACCAATTGAAATACAATATTAGTGTGCATTATAATGAACAATCTGCTCCAGCATTGCAATGGAGCTGGAAGCAGGAATCAATAGTCACAGAGAAACTTTTCAAGTGCTGTGAGGACACAGGATTCAGATTATTTGTCCATGGTATTTCTTCTGACCAGTTGTACCCATTGTCCAGCAGGTACTAAAGTTGTGGTGAATAACAAAGATCACCCCAATCTTGGGTTTCCGAGGTCATTGTTAGGGATTGCATACTCCTTTTTGTCATCACCTTTGAGGCAATGCTACTCAGTGTGGGATTTGGATTTTCGCTTTGAAAGGTTGGTTGATTTCAGCCAAGGATGATGATGTAGTTTCAAAAGCATCCTTGGAGAAATGGTAAAAATGGTTCAGCAACTTCTTTCCAATACTCCTTGGGAAAGATTATTTAAAATGGTCGCCTTCTCAGCAAAATCCATGAAGAACCCCAAGGTAGGAGCAGGATACTTTCATTGAAGGAAATTTAAGAAGCCTAGGATAAGTTCCAAGTTAAAGGATTGGAAACACCTAGACATTAAACTTTCACTCAGGTGCTGATAAGAGATGTACTAGTGCCAGGTGCCCATGGCTCACACCTGCAATCCTAGCTACTCAGGAGGCTGAAATCTGAGGATTGTGATTCAAAGCCAGCCCGGGCAGGAAAGTCCATGGGACTCTTATCTCCAATTAACCACCAGAAAATCAGAAGTGGCCCTGTGGCTCAAGTGTTAGAGCGCTAGCCTTGAGCTGAAGAGCTCAGGGACAGTGCCCAGGCCCAGAGTTCAAGCCCCACATCTGACAAAAAAAAGAAAAGATATACTAGCAAAACCAAACCATAGCTGCTTTCAGATACGTGTAGATTATCTCCTCCTGCCTTTTCGGCAAAATCTAGAACTGTAACAGCAGAGCAGAATGCTTTCAATCAATGTTGACTCAAAGGTTCCATGACTGCAAGTAATTTCTGTCACTCCTACCCAACATTTTTTATATTTTAAATACCTTAATTATTATAAGTGTACAATCTTGGGTAATTTTTTCATAATGTCTATTTTCTTTTTTTCTCATAGGAGCTGCAACGAACTAAGCAAGAAGTTCTCTCTTTGCGAAGAGAGAATTCTACCCTAGATGCTGAATGCCATGAAAAAGAAAAGCATATTAATCAGCTGCAAACAAAAGTGGCAGTTTTAGAGCAGGAAATCAAGGATAAAGACCAACTTGTTTTAAGAACAAAAGAGGCATTTGATACAATGCAGGAACAAAAGGTCTTAAATTTTTTTCTAAATAAATCAGTGACTACATTGCAAGTTGTTTCCCTAAACAAACACAAATATGCAAATTATTCATGTCTTTTTAAAAATCAGGTGGCCTTAGAAGAAAGTGGTGAGAAAAATCAGGTACAGCTGGGAAAACTTGAAGCTACAATCAAATCACTGTCAACAGAACTTCTGAAGGTTTGTTTAAAAATTTAATAGAATATTAGTATTTCAGTGTATTACATAGAGATACACATATTAAGCTCTTTTATAGGCAAATGAGATTATTAAGAAGTTACAAGGGGATCTGAAAACTCTAATGGGTAAGTTGAAACTGAAGAATACAGTTACTATTCAGCAAGAAAAACTCTTGGCTGAGAAGGAGGAAAAATTACAAAAGGAACAGAAGGAATTACAAGATGTTGGACAATCTCTCCGAGTTAAAGAGCAAGAGGTAGTTAATATTTCAGTTTTTTGTGTAGATTATTGTGTATATAGAGTGTAGCAGAATTCTTCATGTGTTTTTAAAATTTCTAGTTTTTTACATTAGACAATAGGTTTGTCTTTTTTAAATGAAGTGTTTTAAAATAAAACAACTCGTTTGACAGAGGTAATAATTCTGTTTTGGTTTGGAAAGTTAAATATGATTTAAACATTGATTACTGACATATGTATAGGAGTATGAAATATACATATACCTAAATATTACATTGTGGGAATAATTACATTAATTATTTTAAATTATCATTTAATAACAGGAGTAATCACTTATTAAGTAGTAGTAATACATTCCTTCAGTTTTTATTTTAGCCTTTATTTTCTTTGACTTATTCTGAGGATTCTATATTTCAGGTATGCAAATTACAAGAACAATTAGAAGCTACAGTTCAAAAACTTGAAGAAAGTAAGCAGCTTTTAAAAAATAATGAAAAATGTAAGTATGTTATATTTTTTAGAATGAGGTTTATAGTTTATTCTCAACCTAAAAATCTTATTTGAATTCATACAAGTTTAGGTAAATCAAGGTATTTTCATGTATAAATAAGTATGCTGTCTTAAGTTCAGTAAATTATATCATCTGCCCTTTAAGACTTATCACTATAAAGGAAATTATCATACATTAGTAATCTAAACTGAACAGTGTTGAAAATATTGACTACAATTTATAAGTTACACTTTTAACATCTTGTTAGTTCCTGTAACTGAATATTAGACACAAATGTGAAACTTTAAACTATAACAGACCAAAGTTTAAATCATGACTTCTATAGCCATTCTGGATATATTAACTTAGAAAAGTTGTCAAATTATCTTATTTTGTTCACAAAAGTATGTTTCATACTTTGGTGGGTCTTGTCCTAGGACTGTGTTCACAGTAAAAGAACTTGTAAACATTTAATAAAGAAATGACACTTTCCTTGCAATCTTAAAAATAGATAAACTGTAGATAGGTAAACTGTAACATATTGTTCTAGAGCAAAAATATATTCTGCTGAGATGATAGAGTAATGTGTCTTGCTAAAATAAAAATATTTAATTATAAAATCTAGACAAACCTATGTTATAACTGAAAACGTATAAAAACTTAAAACCCAAGTTAAATAAAACTCCAGACTAAAAAACTACCAGAAGGCTGGGAAGGTGGCTCAGTGGTAGAGCGCTTGCCTTGCATGCATGAGGCCCTGGGTTCGATTCCTCAGCATCACATAAGCAAAAAGAAAAAAGCTGGAAGTGGCACTGTGGCTCAAGTGGTAGAGCGCTAGCCTTGAGCTGAAGAGCTGAGGGACAGCACCTAGGCCCAGAGTTCAGGCCCCATGACCGGACCCAAAAAAAAAAAAAAACACTACCAGGCACTAGTGGCTCATGCCTATAATCTTAGCTATTCTGGAAGCTGAGACCTGGAGGATCTTGGTTTGAAGCCAGCTGGGGCAAAAAAGTCTGTTAGACATCATCTCCAATTAACCAGCAAAATGCCAAGACTAGAGGCTTGGCTCAAATGGTAAAGCCATGAATAAGAGCTCCAGATCATTTATTTCAAGTCCCGGTACCAAGATGGCACGTAGGGACTAATCCTACCACTTGGAAGGCTAAGATAAGATTATAAGGTTAAGGCCAGCCTAGGCGACTTAGCATAGTGAGACTCTATTTCAGAAATCAAAGGGGAAAAAAGTAAGTATAATTTTAAAATGCTTAAAATTATTAGAAAAATGAAAGCAGTGAAATAAATTTTACTTTGTTTCTTATTCTCTTATTTAAGTAATCACATGGTTAAATAAAGAGCTAAATGAAAATCAGCTCGTGAGAAAGCCAGATGTATCAGGACCTTCCACCACTCCATCTGCGCATGCCAGCAGCAGCACACTCAGAAGTGGAATTTCCCCTAATGTGAATGTGGTAAGATTTAAGCTAAAAATGTGAAGGATGCTAGTCAATTTTCTATAATGAAAGCAAAGATTGCTTTGAAGCTTAATAATACTAATACCGACTGAAGTTCTACACTTACTTAGCACTGAAGCCCTTGGTAGTGGGTCATGGGCATATTTGATTTTAACAAAAAGTCTCCTTTTCAAGGGCACACTGCTTTACAACATTTTTCATTGTGTTGAAATTTGTACTCTAGTAGTGTCAAATAGGCTGAAGAAAATAGAAAAGCATTGAATATTTTTAAAAATGATTTTCAAGATTCAGGGTTTAGATTCAAGGTTGGAATTATAATGGAAAAGCCCTAAGCTGAAATCCATCAGCAAAATTACAAAGAAGGGAATTAAGCTCTGGTAGCATGTTCTGTTGGCTCTAGAAACAGAACGAAACTAAGACAGATGCTTTCTAGTTTCCATAATGAGATCGTTTGCTTTTTACTTACAAGGAATAGGAGAAATAGGAAAGGAAGTTCTTGCTGATTGTGGTAGGTAGGATATGTCTGTAATTCCAGCTAGTTGGGACTCAGAGACAGGAGGCCAAACTGAAAACGGTTTGGCCTTGAGGGCACAATTCAATTGGTAGAATGCTTGTTTGAGGCCCTGAGTTCAATTCCTCACTACCACAATCACAAGAGCAACCAAGAACAGCTCTTTATACCTAGACGTGGCGTGCTATTGTCAGCTGGTGCTAGGAATTTGACTGGTACACAAAGGGAAGTCCTGGGTTCTTCTGTTAAAAATAAGGGATACTTTTGGCTATCAGGAATTGTAGAGGTAAAATTCAACTTCCTAATTGAATTTTTTCCCCTTTGGTTGTAGGGCTTGAACTCAGGGCCTGGGTGATGTTGTTGAGCATTTTTGCTTAAGGCTAGTGCTCTACCAACTTTAGCCACGACTCCACTTCGAGTCTTCTGGTGGTTAACTGGTGATAAGAGTCTCATGGACTTTTCTTACCAGGCTGGCTTGGAACTGTGATCCTCAAATCTCAGCCTTCTGAGTAGCTAGGGTTACAGATGTGAGCCACCGGTGCCCAGCCCTAACTAAATTTTTAATCTATTTCAGTAAGCAGTAATACAGGCTAAACTCAAAAAAGAAAAAGAAACACTTGATGCTGAATTACAAACTTGAAAAAAATGGCTAGACTCAACTGACTGATATAACTATCTGTGTGGAGGATGTGTTGTGCAACTGCTGGTATATGCAATTACATCTCAAGATTTATGTTTCAAGGGGTTGGAAGCGTGGTTCAATTGGTAGAGAGCTAGCCAATGAGTGAAAGTGCCACAAGTATTGAGTTCAAGCTCAGTCTTGGATCAAAAGAAAAGAAAAGACTCATGTTTCAAATCAACTTTTTATGACTCTGGTTATTGTGATGTTGCGCTCTACCACTTGAGCCACAGCGCCACTTCCGGCTTTTTTTTTCTGCTTATGTGGTACTGAGGAATCGAACCCAGGGCCTCATGCATGCAAGGCAAGTGCTCTATCACTGAGCCACCTTCCCAGCCCCGAGAGATACTGCTCTTAACTATTACTAGCATGTGTTTTTGCTAATGGAACAACAAATGCTATTTTGAATTATGTCTCATTCTTATTTTTGTGTTTGAATTTTTAGGTTGATAGTAGACTGAATTATCCTGGCTGTGGTATTGGTTATCCTGTCTCCTCTGCATTTGCATTCCAGAATACCTTCCCTCATCCCATAGCTACCAAAAACACCATCCACCCAGTTTCAGGACCAAAGGTAGCCAAATCAACAAATTGTGGAAGAATGTAGAAACTTCCTAGTATATATTTTTTACCCTTTCAAAGTTCATTTATTGTCTGACTAATGGGTAGTGTATTAGATGAGTAAGTTACTAAATATCTAGTATATAATATTGTAAGAAATAGATGCGTTTCTTTAGTCACTGCAGTTCATAAAAATCTAGGTATTAGTCTGCCTAAACTTCTTATTTCTCCTCTTCTCTTCCATTTTTATTCACTCTTCTATTTCAATCTGCAAATCTAGGATTACTGATAAAATAATACTCTTGTATTACATGTGGTAAGATATTTGGATTTTATTGCCACAACTTAAAGGTCTGTCTCCCAGGTTTATAGCAAATTCTCAAATAGGTTTTTATTCTTCTTTTTTTCTTTCTTAGTGGTATTGTGTTTAGAACCCAAGGCCTTGAACATGCTAGGCAGGCAAGCATTCTAATACTTAATAGTTTTTTTTGTATATAGTAAGGTATATCATTTTGCTATCTATTTTCTGTATGTCTCATCTATTCTTTATCACTTGTTTTTGCCTTCCTTCTTTCCAATTAATTGTGCATTTTATTTTGTTAGAAAACAAATACCTGGATTGTACTTTCTTTGTGTTTTCTTAGGCTTATAACACATTTTTGTCTTAGCATAAACTGTTCAAATATACTACTTCCTATATATAACAAAAACCTTAAAATAATATATATATAAAATAATAGTATAAAAATATACTTCCATTTTCTTCCATATATATATATAATATATATATAAAATATATATATAAAATAATAGTATAAAAAATATACTTCCATTTTCTCTCTCTGCCTTATACTTACACTGTTCACCCTGTTCATACCTTTCTTCCAGGTATGACTTACATTGTCCTACTTACTGCCATTTCTAGTTGTTTTGGACAGTTTATAAATTATGTACAATATTAATTTCTGGATTTTCTTATTTTTATTTAGAGTAGCACCTTGTGCTTTACCTTGTGAGGATTCTTCTTTCTCTTTAGCTTTACTAGAGTACATGTAAAGTACGTTCTACTCAAGGAATATTTCAGCCCCGTTACATGTTCTGTGGATCACCTTGTGCTTTACCTTGTGAGGATTCTTCTTTCTCTTTAGCTTTACTAGAGTACATGTAAAGTACTTTCTACTCAAGGAATAGTTCAATCTTGTTACAAAGGTGTGCCCTTGCAAGGGCTTTTTACGAAAGTCTTTGTCTCTCTGCTTTTGAATCTTGGAAATTGTTCACATGTCCTCCTCATGTGACTAACTCAGCTGGCTCTACTAATGATAAAGATCAAAAGTAGGCAAGAAAAGACCACTTGAAAGAAGCCTTTTATTGGGGGAGTCTATATTGTAACACCAAGCCAGCAGCACAGGAGGGTGTGTCCAGTCTAGCTCAAGAAGAATAGCCAGCTGACAGTCACAAGAGGAGGACATGGTAGGGTGATGGCAGTAGTAAAGGTAACACAGCAGAGACAGGAAGGCTCAGGAGTACCAGAGAGCAACAGGAGTGCAAACAACCAGGAGAAACTGCAGGCCCTTGTCACAAGCCTTAAGCAACAAAGTCCCACAGACCCCAGGACTCTTCAGGACCACTAACACTTGCAGCACTGCCTGCTGCTGCAGCTCACTGCTGCTGGAAGCCAAGCATTTACAATAGCTACCAAGTGGCATTGTCTCTATTGGTCAAATCCCTGAGCAATAATCCTCCAATCTAAGTGACTCGAGCCACAAGTCTCCCAGCAGTAGGTCCCAGGTGTCACAGCTTGGAGCTTTAAGCCTCTGGGTGTGGTGGTCCATCCCCTGGGCCTTAAGGGCCAGCACGGAAACACTGATTTCTCTACCACTATTCCTGTCCTGGTAGAAGAAAACCTCTGATTGGTAACTCATCTCCCTCAACTGTAATATTGATCTCCATCTAGCAATTGTTCTGCACCACTGTTAGGAAAACATCTCCAGTTCAAAAGCTAACTGTTGAAAGTTTCCTGTGTCTCAGGGACTGAGTCCTATACTGTGTATGTTCAGTCTGGGAATATGCTTTTAATTTGTTCTACCCAGTTGCCTGGTTGTTTATAATCTATTTGTATATAAAGCTATAATGTAAACTTTAATACAGAACTAGAATTTTTCCTTAATGTTAATAGCCAAGTACAGAGCTATATATCTTCCTAATTTATATAGTATTAAACTAATGTTTGTCTATTTTATTATGACATGTACTAAAAATGGATAGTCATTTTCTCATACCTTCTTTATATGAAAGTAGTCATTTTGCTTGATATGCTGGTAAAGTGATTTGTGTTTATAGATTTTTAAAATAGGATCCATTTATACCTTCCTAGTAAAAAAAGACTTACTGCTTTCAATAAAGTATGTTAGGTGCTGATATTTAATTGTGCATAGATAAATAAATTTGTTTTAAAACCCAAACTCAAAGATCTAGCATTCTTAACTAAAAGAGAAAATTATAGTCTTCGAAAGGGAATTCTCAGAATGCATGAGGTGAATACATTATTGTGGTAGTGGATACTTGTTTGAATGTGTTGGTGTTTGGACAGGAATTTTGTTTAATAAGAAATAGGATTCTTTCTATGAAGTCTCAGTAGAAGATGCTTGTGGTGTAAAATGTAGGCAAAAATCTCTATTTTTAGGATCTAGATTTAATGGAATGAAAATATAACCTCCTGTCTCTGTTCCACTTCAGTTAGATGAGGCGTTTTCTTCTTCACAGGTTCAGTTTAACTTGCAGTTTACAAAACCAGATGCTCAGTCAGGAACAACTAGTACCATGCCTGGCTCCACAGATAAGGAAAAGTAAGTATTTATTGACATAAAATTTAATGTTGGTAGTTTGTTAGTCATAATGAAGAATTCTTACCAGTACTTGAAAGGAGTTGTGTCTCTATTTGCGATATTGTAGGATGAAAACTTAAGTCTGAATTGCTTTTAGCTATAAAAAAGTGGTTTCATGTATGTATTTTTAAACTATGGGATCCCTTTAGAAATACAGTAAGTTTTATCATGAGAGTTTCTCTTACATAGCTAGAGGCTTCGCTTTGTAGTGTTTCTTGGGTGCCTAGATAGACGTCCATCTCTCTCTCACCGATTTATATAGTAAATACGAGTAGAAAAGGCTTGTAAAATTGTTCTCTAGATACTACAAAATTTAATGCCAATTTGTGACTTTTATTCCACCTGTTCAGAGTCTTAAGTTTTTATTTTGTTTTTAAATTTTGATTTTTTTTTATGCTGATCCTGGGCTTAAATTCAATCTGGGTGCTGTCTCTGAGCGTTTTTCTCCCAACTAGTGTCCTAACACTTGGTCTACAGCCTAATTTCTGGCTAAGCATCTCATTATGGCTTTAAATCTTAATTCTCCTGAGCAACTGGGTTAAAGGTGTAAGACACCATTACCCAGCAAGAATATTTATTTATTGTAAAGTTAGTTAAGTTAGTGTCTGTGACTAATCAATCCATCCCTCGTTGGGGGGTCTTCAAGTTTAATTTAAATCTTTATTCACTTTAAATTCAATGGTCTTAAGCCCTTCCTGCTAACACTCATCATGAGCAGCACCATTCCCTTACATTGTAAAATAAATTACAAATATAGCTCCAGACAGCAGTTTTTTTTATCTCAGCTCTCTAAATTTATTCATTAAGTGTTCTAAAATTGCCAGTTGCAAGAGTTAAAATGGTTTGTGAACTTCTTTGCTAGGAAAGGATTAGAACTTTTTGAGGACATTTACTATATTTAACTTTACAGATGCTCAAGATGCTCATAAGGCAGAGCACCTATAATTCATATTATAGAATACGATAATGCTTATGTATCAATGTATCACAGAAACTAAGACCTCTTTTAAGAGACTTTTTACAGAAAAATAGGACTTGTGTGTGTGTGTGTGTGTGTGTGTGTGTGTGTGTGTTTTGCAAGATCCTCTAACACTCTAGTACTCTTCTAATTGAACCATGCCTTAGCATAGCCTTTTTGCTGGTTAATCAGAGATAAAGTTTTGAGAAATTTCCTGCTTTAGTTGACTTTATTTGTTTTTATGAGTTGATCATGGGGCTTGAACTCAGGGCCTAGGTGCTGTCCTTGAGCTTTTTTGCTCACAGCTACCACTCTATCTTTTTGAGCCACATCATCACTTCCGGTTTTCTGTTGGTTAATTGGAGATAAAGGTTCACGGACTTGCCTGTCTGTCCTGGCTGGCTTCAAACTGTGATCCTCAGATCTCAGCCTCCTAAGTAGCTAGGATTACAGGTGTGAACCACCAGTACCCAGCTTTAAGTTCTTATTCCAAGTGTAATACTAGGGAAATTGATAACTGTACAGTTTTAGAAAGTAATGAATGCATACTAAGTAGAAAGGGATAAAATACAGAAATACCCATTTATTTTTTGAAGTCCCACATTTGAATTCATCTAACCAGAATTCCTGATTTGATAATGCTTTAAAACATCATAAGAATTTTAAGAGCTTTGGTTAAGGAGCAAAGAAATATTCACCAATTTGGTGAAAAATGTCTGTAATCCTAGTACTTAGTATGCTGTTGTAGAAGGCTCACAAATTTGAGGCCAGAGTGAGCTGCATATGTAATTCATACTGTAGGTGACACCTTTGTCAAAAAAAACCCTTCATTTTAAATGAGACAGAATGACAGAATTTAGGATATTCTCAAGGCATGTACACATGTACATAGGTAGTATATTGTCATTTATGAGCTATTTAAAGTTTTATAATATTCAAATTTTTAAACTTCTCTTAATAATCCTTATTCCAGCCCTTTTTTAGTTTATATTTGGTTATATGCAGCTAAATTATTTTCATAAGCCAGTGAATATGATCTGAAGCAAGTCAAGCTTTCACATAGCTTACGAGTTTTCTTTTTATGGGGTAGACAGTGCTGGAGCTCAAACCCTGGGACCTTCATGCATATTGGCAGTTGCGCTGCCACTGCCCCGTTTATGCTTTCTTGTATGTCCTGTGGATTAGTATTCTTTGCCTGAAATGCTTGAAACCAGAAGGTTTTGTTTTTTGATACTTACATATACAGACATATTTTGGGGATTAGACTCATGTCTTCACACAAAATTTGTTTCTTCTGCATATATCCTGAAGGTAATTTAGGTTGTGCACTTGGGTTTGACTCATGTGAGGCAAATGTGGAATTTTTCACTTTTGTAGTATCTATGTTGGCTCTCAAAATTTGATTTTGTGGATTATAATCTATATTTGAGGTAATTAGTATTTTTTTTAAGTGGTGAAAATTTAGGGCTGGAATCTAAATACTTGAAGAAAAGAGAAGATAGCATTCCTTTACGTGGACTCAGCCAGAATCTACTTAGTAATGCAGGTAAGAAGACTTTTATAGAGGACTGGGCGGTATAGAGGACTGGGCGGTATAGAGGACTGGGCGGTATAGGTAAATAACTGTTGTTTCTTGCCCCCCACTTGCAGAACATCAGAAAGATGGCACACTAGGGGCATTACAGATGTCTTCTAAACCCACAGTGCTCCCTTCCACATCTGCCTATTTTCCTGGGCAGTTACCCAGCAGTTAATCCTGTCCTCACCGGCTGTTTGTACTGACACTTCAGAAACTCAGGTGGTTTAAAAATTATGTTTAACCTAAGTCAAATCTTAAATAAGCAAGTTTCAAATTTTATTTGAGCTACCTACTGTTTGGCCACCATATAATTCTGCTGCTGTTATGGCAGCTATTTTATGGCCACAAATTTGTACTTGGGATTGGCATAGATTCTAAGTCAATACTTTTATTTTTTTTTTTTTTGGTTTGTGAACATGTTCTATTAAGTAATATGAATTTTATTCAATTTTCAGAAATTAAGTTCTAAGAAAGGAATTGTTATAATTGACATTCTAATCATATTACAAAATTGAGTTATTGAATCTGGCCAGAGTATTAGGGGAAGAACTGATATTTATGTGAAAGGAAAATACCTTGAAATGAGTAAAATAAAGTTTTCACCATCACAAACAAAAATGACTTTTTTTCAAAAACAGTTAAATTAGCTACTGTCTATAAAATATATAATTTTTTTCCCCTTTTTGTTAGTACTGGGGCTTGAACTCTGCCTGGGCACTTAGCTTTTTTGCTCAAGGCTGGCACTCTACCATTTGAGCCACAAGTCTTCTGGCCTTTTTTTTTGGTGGTTAATTGGAGGTAAGAGTCTCACAGATTTTCCTGCCTAAGCTGTCTTTGAAGTGCAGTCTTCAGATCTCAGCCTCCTGAGTAGTTAGGATTATAGGGGTATGAGCCACTGGCTCCTGGCTATAAAATAATCTTGATAAATAATTCCACTAGCATTTTTATGTGATCAGATTAAGGATAGAGAGCCTCAGTCTCATGAACTGGAAGTTTATAGAAGTTTAGTGTTTCCTGAAAGTTTAATCATCAAACTGTTCTTAATTTGGAATTTTGCTACTCGGTGAAATACTTGCCATCATTAAATTTGTGTGTGTATGTGCATGCCAGTGCCATTAATGAGGCTTGAATTCAGGGCTTGGGTGCTATCATCAGCTAGTTTGCCCAAGACTGACACTACTTGAGCCATAACTCATTGCTTTTTTTCTTTTTGGTGGCTAATTGGAAATCAATGTCATGGATTTTCCTAACTGGGCAGGAAAGATCCTCACATCTCCGTCTCCTGAATAGCTAGGATTACAGATGAGAGCCACCAGTGCCCAGCCTTATTGAAATATTTTTTGATATTGTACATTTACTATAAGAACATGATTATTCATTGTATGTTTTATAGTATCAAAACTGGTATTTTTACTATTTTTTAATAAAGGGAAGTAACTACTATAACCTACCTCTTATTACTGAAAATTTTGAGTAACTGTTCCTTGGGGAAAAAAAATAGTTTTAAAATCCACCCTGGACCACAGAATACATGTTTTCTTATTGACACCAAAAGCAGGAATGGGGAGCCTTACTGCTGAAGGCCCATCATTTGAGGGCCATACAAAATTTCAACAGCGCAGGGTTAAGGACAACCAGTACGCATCGTGTTCATCCTGTTATGTACCAAATGATTTCAAGGGCCATATGTAGTCAGTAGGCTAGAGGTTTCCCCACCACTGCAACAGAAACAAACATTCTAAGAATCCTCTAATTCTCCCCTCTGTACAGCATTTTTCAATAAAAAAACATACAAAAATTAAAAAAAAAGAATCCTCTAATTCAACTGTTTACAAACTAGTAATGCTTATGTGAGAAATTGTTTTTATGTACTTACAGATGAGGAAAAAGATAATTCAATGATTACCACTGTCACTAAGTTCATAGTAACACAAGGATCTTCGCTAATTTTTAATGAATCCGCTGTCTTGAGCCTTATATTTTGAATCTAAACTGGGAATATAGTTGGCAACATCAATAATAGTAGGCAATAACTCTGTGCTCTTAGATATACTGCATTAGTTAAGAATACAGATAAAATAACTTGTAAGACTCTTGGCAATATGGGACTGTGCTTTGTTGTATAAAACATTGTGACGGGGCTTGGATGGGACATGTAACTTTTTAAACTATAGACCACCCTTACATAGCCACACATAGAAATCCTATCTGCAAAAGATAGGATACAGAGTCTGTATGAACTTGCTATCATTTTCCTTTTAATGTACATAGGTAGACTTGTGTGGTATCTCTGTACTCTACCTCTTAAACCTGTTTGTAATTGTTTTCCAGTATATATATGTACATGTTAATAAAAATGTTTCACTTAATGTTATTCCTATAAATGAGCTTTGCTAGTACAATTTGAGAGTTTGACATATAGAGTAAGTTAAAAAGAGGATTGGGTTGTATCTACTTAGAAAAGCAAGTACTTCCAACTGATCTGAAAACAACGCTTTTCATTTTGTCTAATTTTTTACAGGAGTATTTTATAGTGAGAAGAGAAACTGATTCAAATCCAGACAGCTTTGGTATGTTGCTGTAGAGATGAGTATAGTAACTTATGGCAAGCGACTCACAGATCAAGGCTTTTTTAAAAAGAAAAAAAATCATTAAAATATTTAATTTTATTAACAGAATATTTACATTTTAAAGACCTCATTTAGCCATAGTGAATGTTCCAAGTTTAAAAAGCATTAGGCAATAACCACACACAAGATGAAAACAGTGTAAACTATACAATACTTTATGTACAATTTTTACAAAGTAACACTTTTTTAAATAATATAACTGGACACAAAAATATACACTTTAGAGAAATTCACATCAGTAATTGTATAAAGCTCTCTTCTAGGGTCCTGAAATTTAGGACAAACATTAGCTCTGTAAATAAAGTGTTACTGTGACAGTCCTGAAAGGCCACTATATATATTTATCTACATATAGATATCACATTGACATTTTCAAGGCTACCAACTTTACTATAATTTTTAGATTATGTTTTCAAGTGTTGAGGTTCTTATGATTATGCAAACATTAAAAGAATATGGTATAAGAAGTAACTGGGGAACAAATCTGAGCCAGCATTTAGATTTACAGGCTCTACCCCAATTTGAATTCTAAGTGGCTGATAAACAGTAGTGAATGATGTTTAAAATAAATTACTGCAAATAAGCTTGAAACATGATTCGGATTTAGTACAGTTTTCTTAAGTGTCTTTTTTTAAAATTGCAAACAACTCATTTGCCATTTCTTTATTTTAGCGCACCTGCATTAAGGCTTTGAATTATTTGACTCAAGATTTTACAATACTAAAATCTGTCTCAGGATTTTACAATGTTAAAATGAACAGGTCCACAACCACACTACCTACTCTGTCTCTCCAGGAGTCAGTATAGAGTTAAAGCTCAACACCTTAGGGAAATGGTAGCAGACATATGCTAATATCTAAGAAGTTACATATAGAGTTTTTAATTAAAGGATGTATAATAAAACAGCTTAGTGGCAAGAAACTGGTGCTAATAAACAAAAGTTTTCTTTTCAAAAGAAATTGTAACATCTTTGGAAAACTGTCCGGTTCTTTCTTTAGTTCCCACGGAGTTCATGCAGATACATTTCATAAGACAATCTTAAAGTACATTGTAGATGGAAATGGAATGTACATCCAGAACTACAGGTGAAAACTAAACCTGGGCGCTGATAGAAAAATCTTCCTGATTTCCGTCATCACACATTTGTGTCCTGGAGCAAAGGTTCTTTGGCCTCTCCTGGCGCCTGTGTACTGTGAGGGTGGCTGTGACTGCCACAGTGCTTTCTCCAACTGCTGGACCTTAAACTTAAATTGGTGTGTTCTGGGATAAACAAGGCAACAAGTAGAGCCAGCAGTACTGAACAGGCTCCAAAGAGGAAGGGGGGACCAGGAATGATGGAATTCTGAGGAAGACAAAAATGATTAAGATTGCTGTATACACTGTTCAGTTACAACTGATTAAAGCACAGTTATAAAAATGGTTCTTCAGGAGTAAAAGGACTTTATCATACTCACAAAACTCTAGGAATGAAAACTGCAAGAAGCTTGCACTAAAATACCCTGTCACTCAGCATCAAATCTGAAAACACACTCTATGAACTTCTACTGGGTTTGTAAGTTCAGGAGAAAAGCACAAGCTCTCAAATGGAAAACTAAGTAGCATACAGCATTAACAACTAGGAGTAGCATCCACTATCATTTTGTTTCAAAAATTACACTATCAAGGGACTGAAAATGGCAAAAGCAGAGATATAAAACTCTTCCCTCCCCTGAAAAGGAAGGCCCATTTATATTAGCCCCAAGGTACTATTAGGTTCATTCCTAATAAAAACTTAGTCTTCAGAGTTCAAGCCCTACAACTGACAAAAAACAAAAAGCAGTCCACAAATATATTGTTTTTTTTTGGGGGGGGGAGGGAGGGCTGGTTCTAGCTGGGCACTGCCCCTAAGCTTCTTTTGTTCAAGGCAAGTACTCTACCACTTTGGTTACAGCACCTGTTCTTTTCTGAGTAGTTTACTAGAGATAAGAGTCTCAGGAACTTTCTACCCAGGCTGATTTCGAACCTCAAACCTCAGATCTCAGCCTTCTGAGTAGCTAGGATACAGGCACAAGCCACTAGCACCTGGCCACAAATCATTTTCTAATGTAAAAGTAGGCTTAGATAGCTTTAAGATTAGTGTGGGATATCTGCTTAGTAGGCTAGGAACTGGGTGAGCTATTAACATTTGTTGAAGTCATTTAATTACCTATTTCACTTACAAGGAGGGAAACGTACCAAATGTTAAGAGACACATAGCTGACTTCATGCACACAGTCCAGTGACACTGCAACAGTCTCAGAAGAAACAATAGTCATAATATAGGAAAGTGGTGAAGAGAGGTCAGCAAGTCTTGACAAATAGGTTATTCAATAGTGGAAGTTTGTCACCAATGGCGTTCTTTTTTTGTGTGTGGCCAGTTAGGAGGCTTAAACTCATGGCCTAGGTGCTGTCTCTGAGCTTTTCTGCTCAAGGGTAGCACTCTTCCACTTTAAGCCATAGCACCACTTCCAGTTTTCAGGTAGTTATAATTGGAGCTAAGAGTATCATGGCTTTTCCTACTGGGACTGGCTTTGAACTACGATCCTCAAATCACAGCTTCCTGAGTAGCTAGGATTACAGGTTGAGCCCAGCATAAACAGCAACTTTTAATCCAGCTAAATAAACTAAAGATTACCTGTTCAAAATGGTGCTGAGGGCTTGTGTTTGTCCCCAAGTCTGTTCCTGTTATTGGCAGTTCTTTAAGTTCCACATGAAATATGTAGAAAATGAATCCGTAAAGGGCAGGCCCCAGACCATTGCATAGTCCTCGAATCCCTGTTATCATTCCCTGAACAACACCTACATTGAAAGAAACCATTTGGTACTTACATTGTTTTCATATGATCAGTGCAAAGAGGAAATCAATGTAAACAAAGGATTTTAACAGACACTCTCAGGGATCTTTTCTCCAGTTTAAAACAATCTGTGGGCTGGGAATGTGGCTTAGTGGTAGAGTGCTTGCCTAGCATGCAAGAAGCCCTGGGTTCAATTCCTCAGTACCACATACACAGACAAAACTGGAAATGGCGTTATAGCCTTGAGCAAAAGAAACTCAGGGTCTGGGCTGGGAAGTTGGCTCAGTGGTAGAGCGCTTGCCTTGCATGCCCGAGGCCCTGGGTTCGATTCCTCAGCACCACATAAGCAAAAAGAAAAAAGCCGGAAGTGGCGCTGTGGCTCAAGTGGTA